TGTAAACAGTATTGGCTTCCATAAAAACCCCTTATCCTTTAAAGCCGGGAGGTGAAACCTTTTTTTTTCGGGGAGAGGGGGGGTGTTGAGATAGAGCTTTCTCTCTCTCTCTCTCTCTCTCTCTCTCTCTCTCTCTCTCTCTCTCTCTCTCTCTCTCTCTCTCTCTCTCCCTCTCTCTTTCTCGGGCCCCACTGGCAAGTCTCTGTGATATCGCCTTGAAAGTAAGTTTCTTTTTCTTCGTTGTTGTTGACGCTTATTTTTAAAGCGATTACACACTTTTCGTGGAAAGCAGCAACTTGAAACTGGGTGCAGCTAGTGCGTTTGTCTTTTTCACAAAGTTGGAGACGAGGAGATGATAAGACAGATTGACGTTACCAGTGCGAATAGTTTGTTTGTTTGTTTATCCGTTGCAGACGCAAGCAATATGCTCTACAGATTTTAGATTAGTTTTATTTTAGTAAGAGCTGAGCTTTGCGATATTTGTAACACAAATAGGCAACAGAGCTGGGCGAAGAATTGATTCCGGAACCGATTCCCACGATTAATGCTACGGGAGAAAGGTTCCGACTCCTTTTTACGAAAACCAACGGCTACCAGTTACTTTAATCATGGAACACTTCTTTTTTTTATAGAATATACTTTTTAGGAAAAATAAAAGTTGATGCTTCGTAGTGTTCCAAAATCAAGATTATCCTAAATCCTGAAGATGTTCGAAGCCAATTAGGTAACCACAGGAAGAAATCACATCATTAGAAAGTAAGTAATTGGGTTCGGAGTCGGTCCCTACTATTCCTAGCTTTCAAGAATCGGGAACCTGGCCGCCCAGCACTTATAATAGGTAATCTAATTACCGGAGATTCGAGGTATTACTGGGGAGTACCATACAAAGAAAATAAGGAGGAGAGATAAGAACGACAGTTGTATTTTAGTTTTAGTTTCAGTAAGAGTTTTATGGCACTTTCAGCACAAATAGTTCACATAAAGGGCGATGACTAGAAGTTTTTACACGCACAGAGAAAAGGAGAGGGCGAGATAAGGATTTTACATATGTTTGATGGTGAAGACGCGGAAAAAACATTCTAGAGCTCCCACCCGCCAACCATCCACGGAGAGTAAACAGAATAGAGAGAAGTTTACAGTAATATAATATTTTATTATTTGTTTACCCACTGGTGGTGCAGACAACATGTCGCGGTGTCTGAGGTGTAGCGGTTTGGCGCTTCGCTGTCGTGTGTGTGTGTGTG